TTTATTCATCATCAATGTGGCAAGAAGATCATCACTCAATGTCGTTCCTGTTGCTCTCTTATGCATGTTCTTCAAGACAATGATCTCTGCCAAATCTGCTTCGAAGTGTGAATCACGGAATTGATGTTCAAGCAGTTTGCTCAGCAGGCTCACTTCCTTAGCTCGATTTGGCAATGCAAAGCGATCATGCAATTGTCTCCATGTCTCGAATCTGTTGCCTGGCTCATTCAATCGGACAATAAGCCTGGCTGCATCAGCAGTCAAGTTCGCAAGAGGATAATGCAATTGCTTCGCACATCTAACCAAATTCGCACATCTAACCAAATCTTGTCCAGGATACGTATTGTTCTCTTCAAGTTGCGTAGCAGTGTCATCAGTGTATATGCTAGATCCTTCAATCCTATCCATCAATTCTTGTGCTACTGGCTTGTATAATGCCACCTAAGCCTTCAGTTGCCAAGACCAATCTTCCCACTTGGCATGCTCTCCTTTTGAATACAGGTGGCGGGACTTGATCGCGCCCCCTACACCGCTGGATTCTCGTAAGGTTGCCATCTCAATCCAGATCTCAGAAAATCAACGATCGTCAAAATTCAGCTAGAGCAATGGAGTACCCTGGGTTTTGCCGCAGGGCTCCGCTACCATACAAAATTCAACAATCGTTATCAAGCTCTTCTGGAATACAAGATGCAATCAGCAAGCAAATTATCAGTCAGAGATGCAATCAGCTTCAGACGGCAATCACTCGGTCAGGAATGTTTTCAAAGCGACTTGAGCCAATGTGCGCAGCGGTCAATATGCCACAGTGATACAGCAATGTCTGTAAAGAGCAATTCACTCTAACAGTGTCGGTGGGTGTGGTTTGGTGTGGGGAGGGTGTGGGTGGGTAGGGGTGGGTGTGGGTGGGTGGGGGTCGGGGTGGGTGGGGGTGGGTGGGTGGGCTTACGTACGTCATGGATCATGAAGGATGACCCCTACGACGAAGAAGGCTCCGGGATGCAGGCCATGGTTGTTGCTGGAATCGGAAGAAAGCTAAGGTTTGATTATTGCGATGGTTTGCGACAGTTTTACACGTGGCGCACATTGTTCAACTCAGGTTCGTTGCAGGGCCAGCGCAGGGGAGCAAGTGTGTTGTCTTCTGTCGCACAGCAGCAGCCAGATGACATTAATGGAATGCTAGCTAAACCCAATTCTACCCGTTTGGCCCGATTGCAAATCACCATTTTTCGCTCCGCCAGCCTTCTGGAACAGTCGGGTTGAGAGCATTTTTGCCGTGCGATCGTCCCCGTGAGCCCACACCGTACCTGCTCGAGGCGTGGACAAAGGATCCAGACTTGGAAGCGCAGCGTCGCAGCCAAGAAAGGTCAGCGGCGACAGAGCAGTGGGCTCTTGTTGCGAATGACAATGCGAAGAGTCTGCGAAGAGGGATTTGTGCTCAACTGGAGATTTCCTAAACCCCAAGAAAAGCCTTCAGGGCAAACACGCTATCGATTACATATCAGACCAGAATTCCAGACACACAAGTCTCAAACCCCGATTGCACAGCCAAGGGTACCAAACGCTCCAACTTTCGAAAGCATCGAAATGCCCGAGCTCCGGAGAGAGGCCGCTGCTTGCGCCCCACATCGAAGCCATGGTCCAGGCATGGGCCCGGTGGGTCTGCATCACGTTGAGCCTTGAGACTGAGCAGGTGGGTTTTGAGGGTAAGGCTCCCGCTTCTGCAATTCCTTTTTCACCCCATCGCCTCAAAATCCGTTTGAGGCCTAGAAATCTAGCGACGTCTCTTAATACGGTGGAGTGCAGGACGCATTCTAGTAAGGGGTTCGTTTCTTTCGGGAAACTAACAACGGTTCCTGCAGCTTCGTCGCGAGTGGCCAGTCCTAAGGCTAGACAATGCTAGGCACAGAGAAACAGAGGAACATGCTGTGCGCAGATGTGGTGATGTGGTTGGAGAGATAGAAACATGGCAAATAGTTATCTCACATGGATAGGTGGCCAATGGCAGACATATCAGATGGATGGATGGATGGATGGATGGATGGACGCACGGACAGACGCACGGACCGATGGATGGATGATGGATAGATGGATGGATGGATGGATGGATGGATGGATGGGTGTCTGGATCCATGAATAGGTACTGATACACATACACACACACACACTTACCTATATATATATATAT